GCACGAGCGGAAAAGTAGAGCTGATTGGGAGAAATGGGGAGAATTTGGAGGAATGAATCTTTTTAATCATCATTTCGAGTTACAAATTAGAGGGTTTCAGGCATGTCAAAATTGGTAAAAAAAACGTCTCGATCGATAATAATAATAGATAAAGAAATATACGAACAAAATGCATTGTAGAAATTTTTCAGATATCACAACGCGTTTGAATTAATCGAAGAATCTTAGTACTCAAGACGATGTCGAGTACACAGAGAGAAAAATTCAATAAAAATTAGCAGAAAAAAACGTAAAAATTATGTTTCGAAACGTAATCCGTGAGTGAAGTAAAATTCAATAAAAAGTGTGGGTCGGAACTGAAATTGTACGAATCGCCACGAGAATTATACGATTTGTTCCGTAAAAATTAACCACCCGTCTGATGACTCACCGCTATGGGGACAACAAATCGTTCCGTAATTTTTCTCCAACGATTGGGAAATTTTACTGAACGGAAGTAGAAATAACTCACCACCCGAGTCGAATATTTGATCCTCGTAAATACTCCCAAGATTCATAACTCCTCAGGAGTTAGTAGTATTAAATCGGAGCAGATTGGTCTCTTTTTACGTTGTTCTCAAGTCCTCAGTAGTACTGAGAACCTCGACTTATGTGCATATACGGGAGTTCTTAGGAGTACGCAAGATCCATACAAAGTCTGAGAAGGCCTGGGGAGGCCTTCATGATTAGTTCCTATAGAGCCTTCTCAGTCCTCCCCCACCTCACCTAGTTGTTATTCCCCCACCTCACTTGGTTAGTCCTCCCCCACCTCACCTTACTTTTTGAGTCGCATGTACGAAAAAATGAAATAAAAAAACCTAGCACCTTTTCCGGAAAATTCCGGTGTATTACTATCGACATTCTATTGCCAATTGTATCTATTGTTCGTTAACTTTATCAGAAAATTCTTCACTTTTTCCGCTTGTTTATGGTTGACGGAACTGTTTAAGGGGGGACCGCGATAAAATTTGAAAGTTGCAGCGAATTGTCTCTAGCATGTAGATAACTCTAGTACTTTTTTTTGTATTCGAAAAATGAGAAAAAATCAAGTCAATCAAGTAAAATCTAATGTTTAAAATAATCCCCGTACCAGGATTTTTCATGGATTGACGTAAGTTTCAGTTTCCATGTACATAATATATGTGATGAAAACAATATCTGATTTTTTTTTTAATACAAAGTTTTCGATGTTTTCGATTTTTTTTCTCAAAATTGGTAGAAACAATCGTATTTTATTATATGGAGAGCAAATTCAAGGCTGCAACGCACCAATGAACTCCTTTTTTTTCAATTTTTTTTTGATCCTTACGGCAGTTTCAGAAAATCAATGATCAATAAAAGGAGGTTAGGCGGTGTTTGAGGTGAATTTGAGAGTGAATTTCTGTGGTTCCCGGTAGCTTAGTCGGTAAGAGTGCCCGGCGCGTATCTGGGAGACCCGGGTTCGA